AACGTTAGATCCCTGTTATGGTAACATTAAGAATGCCTGTAAAGTTCATATCGAACCACCAACATCTGATCTAATCCAAAAAGAAAGAGCAGGAATTCAAAGCTGTGATAGATCGAGAGGGGAAAGTGATTCAGAGGAAGATATAGGAAGAATTGAAACAGGCTAAAAGAGATTACAAGTCCAAGGTGGAGAAACTAATGAATAGAAATAATGTACAGGAGGCGTGGTGTAGGAACTAAACCATGATTGGCCAGGTGCCCCTAAGTAATGTGTGCTTGCTTCAGCACCACCCCCGGGAAATGGACTGAGAACCAGGAGAACCTACTACTGTAACATCTAAACAAGTGGAGTGCGTGTTTTTTGTGTTTTAAGGACTCAAAAATGAACGTGCCTGGAAAATCTGGAAGGCAATACTTTGCAGTAATGAACAAGTCATGAAGAGCTTAGTCCTGTACTTACTAAATTATCCCAAAAGCCACTGGAGGGATATACAGTTCTGAGTCTGTGGAAGACATCTGCATAACTATATCTTAAACATCTATAACCTGTTAAGTTCAAATATTTCTGTCCAGTTACATTGTACATTACAGTTACATTACAGTTTATTGGCTATAGGTTTATGAGCTCTTGATGTGCAAGACAAATTCTCTTAGAGGCAATAAAGGTTAATTCATTCAGTGAAATCATAATAGTCTTTAGAAGGGACTGAAAGAGGATGAGAAAAAAGGGAAAGTTAAAATGGGCTTAACAAGCACACAGTTACTTTTTGAATTCAAGGAGGGAGGTTTATTTTGTACGGGTGAGAAGACATAATTGGATCAATTTTTGAGGGAGAACATGGAAAGATTTATTTTTTACTTTGAGAAGAAATGTAGTTTTTCATATGGGTACATTATTTATTCTCCAGGGTGTTTTGGAGACAAGTTGCTCTGTGTTTGTTTTATTTTATCAGGGTAGACCTGTGTTTTTAACTGTTATTTGCCTAAGGTGTGTTCTGGTCTGGTTCTGATCGACTCGACAGATGACTGAAACCCCCACGGCATCACACTATCATTTAGTTTACATGGAATATTTCCTACCTAAGAGCAACGTGTTTCAATCTGAAGTCTAGCTTTTCGATTTTGAATAGAAAGCCTGACATGACTTTCACTTTCCTATTTTCTCAGCAACAGTCTGGCCTCCCGGGGTCTCCTGTTGAATTCGCTCTCTGCCTGTTCTCACTCCTCCAGCTGGTCTGTGGAGAGCGAGCAGCTGCGACAGGTCACCCCTGAGGCTGGAGGAAGGGCTCTCCTGTGGGTGAAGTGTCCTG